AGGAGCATGGACTTACCATTACCACCACTCACTATTGCCAGTGATACAAAAACACCAGTGTCAAAAACAGTGGTACAGTGAATTAGATCCGTATGAGATTAGCAAGTTATTATTAAGGAACAGAGTGAGATGTAGAAATAAGAGATTGCTCAGGTCTTCCATCTCTTGCAAGGGATCTGACAAGACCTTCATCACTAAGAATGCCAAGGCCATAACTTTGAACCATATGAAGTTCAAAATAGGAACAACTGCAACAAAATATCATGCCTCCTCCGAAGAGCTACAAAATTGATCAGGCTAACACAGTTATATATGAACTTGTGATGAAAAATGAGAAGGCTAAGACAAGGAACAGTAGAAGAAGATGTTCTCAGAAATTGGAACGAAACCAGTTTCTACCTGAAAACTGGCCAAGTGGACAGGTACAGGAGTCCTGAGTCCTGTCAATACATGCACAACTTTTCTGCTCAAGGTTTGCTATAAGTTTGGGAATCATATACTTTGCATGTCAACAACATCTTACAATAAAGGGGGTAATTTGATTGGTTCAATGCAGTTTCTTAGGATTGCAGAAACATTTGTACTCTTGCTTTGATTCCTGTTTCTGTGGCTATTGCTGCGATGTAGGGAAGGAGAGGAGAAAAAAAAAAACTAAAAGAGAAATTCATCAGAAATTAATAATCATAAGTTATACCAGAAAGCCGACGTAAGATTTAATATGGTTCAACAAATCCTACCTATATCCGTAGAGAAAATCAGATTCTTCACGATGTAAGATCAACTACAAGACCTTGAGTTATCCGAAGCATGATTTCTTTATAAACCCTTTCATATAAATTCTGAAGAATTAGCACCATTTTCTCACATTCTCTAGAAACCTTAGAGAGTACTCACTCTAGACACCTCAGAGAGAAACCAAGGAGTACCAAATGTATTTCTTATATCTTGTTCTCCTTCACCAAAACCCAAAGATGCATGAGATATTTATAGATGAACCAAACCCTAATTCGATTTCGTCGACAGCAGGGGCTTTGGCCAGTGGTTGGGGGTATGTCGAGTGGACCCTGGGCATCGAGTGCATATGACGTTGGCTCCTCGGGATCTAGCAATCCCTCCTCTGCAAGCACCCCTCCCACGACCTTGTTGTCGATCTCAGCAATGTCTCCCTCCACATAGATGGTTGTCTCACTTCAGTCGACGATGTCACTTGAGCTGATCATGACCTCGTCGTTGGTGGGGCGCTTGTCAATCGGATTCTCAGGGAGCTCAATGTCAGGGTGATCGTACTTGGCCCGAGACATGGCAAGGTCATAGCCAAAGGCTAAGGAGTTATGCCTCAGCCTTGCTAGACCCTTCTTGAAGTCTCTCAAGGCTTTGTACTTCTTCACCCCTTGGGCTTCCACCTTGGCCTCCCAATTGCTAACTTCCTTGGCTGCCAAATCATTGCTCGTTCATGCACCAGACGTTGCTGATTTCTATTTGAAGGATTGAGTTCTCCCGCTTAAGTCGATCCACCCCCACCTCAGCATCCAAGGCTCGATGGTACTCTCGAGTCGCCTCTGCCTTCATCACCCTTTTAGCTTCTGCCTCCGGCTCTTATGAGGCTGAAGACTTGACCTCGAACTCAGGCTCGACTTTGCTGAGCCAAGTCCAAAACTAGGTCGACTCTTCCTCAGCTTGGGACTTCACAGCAACTATGTCATCCCACTCCCTTTTGAGGGACGTTGCCCTTTAACGAGGCTCCCTATCACCACTGTTGAGTCTCGAGCTTGGTTGAGGATAAAGGTCATGAGTTGCTAATGCTGCAACTGTCAAACTTGAGTTTGCGCAAACTTTGAAGGGGAGTTAAACTGGAAGAATATGACTACTCACCATGGTCAAATCCTTATGGCCATCAGACAAGAGGTCCTCAATAGGCCTCAGATACATACCCTTAGCCAGGCTAAGTGCAAGAGGCATTGGTTCCAAGAGGTGGTCTTCTGAACCTCCCATGGTCGATTAGTGTGGGTCATGCACTAGTTAAGAGCACAAACTCTCCCATTATCATCTAGAGACCAACCCATCACCAATACACAGTGATAGAAATTCTACCGAATTGATAAGTACTCTAGTATAGAGGTCGACCGGCCATCATGGGTGGTCGTTCACTCCTCTACTGAGTCGCCGAGGGATAATTGAGGAGTAGGCAAAATTAGTGATTGAGTATATGATTGTGAACTACATGACTAAAATTTAAATCATGAAAATAACTTCTCTATTTATGGGGTATGAATTTGTATATCAATTTAATAACATATTAATTTTTAATTTTTGTTCTTATTTTATTTTTCTTATTGCCATGGTATCGTTGATCGAAGAGTTAACATGACCTGGTTCAATCTTGAAGATACGGATCTGTCCTGGGGTCCCTGCCAGGGCGGATGAGACGGCCCGAGCGAGTAGTTAAGATGACAAATGGACTCTCGAGGCATTGTTGGCTTAAGGCGATTGATTCGTGGTCATCTCAAGGTGTGATTCGTCTCTTGAGGGAAGTTCGGGATCATCTCGAGAGGCATCTTGGCCTTGTCCGGAAGTGCTCAGCATCGCTTCGAGGTGCTCCTTCGACGCGCTTATGCCCTGCACAAGCAGTTGGTGTCGGGGGATGTCTTAATCCAACTCCTTTGACACTCAAGTCAGTAGAGTAGATGGAGGGGATTTAGTAGAGTTGAGATTGCCTACCCCCATTTGATCTAGAGGCTTGGTTCTTATACCTGAGCAGTCGGTGGCATGAAGCCAGCGATGGGTTAGGGCACATCTTACCCTACAAGGGGATCATTGATGGTGGTAACTGACAAGCATGTCCTCTAAAGGACGACGTCAAGGTAGGGTGTTTGTGATGATATGCTTTGTCATGGCTTTTGGCATGTTTGAGATAGGTAGGAGATGGCCCCTTGCGTTGTTCATCTGGAAGGTAGGGTTGGGGAAATTGTGTCATATCATCTAGCTTCAATGCGTGCATGCAGGCCTTTCCTTAGCTGCGGTTGAGGTGGCTTCTTTAGTTCAAGTGATAGGGTGAGTTGGCAACACTGTCATTTTCCTTATCATTAGTCCCCTCTACAAGACGTGCTTCGAGGCCTGAGTAAGGGTTTCAAGGCACATCATTTGGATTCATGGCTTTGCTTCATTTGGGTGTGCCGAGTTATGGGTGCTGCTATGTAGCAGCTTCATGCTTCTCATGATGGTTTTTCATGGGCGTTGGTATCGAGTTTATCCATCGTAGCAGGTTTTTGTCATAACAAGTATAAAGCTCGTCTTGGTGGATCTTGCCTCGACTACCATAGGGGTCCGTCATGGCAGATTTGTTTTGATCGTCGTAGTGAGAGTAGGGGTCCGTCGTGGTGAATCTTGCCTTAACCACCATAACAAGAGTAGGGGTCCACTATCACGGATCTTGCCTCGACCTTTATAGCGGGAGTAGGAGTCCATCATGACAGATTTTGCCTCGACCATCATAGTTGGAGTAGGGGTCTGCCATGGCGGATTTTGTGTCGACCATCATAATGGTAGTAGGGGTCTGTCGTAGCAGGAGTAGGGGTCTACCGTTGGGGATTTGATTTAGTAGGTCCTTTCTTTTTCCTTTGTTTTTTATTCGGTCTCTCCCTTTTGCTTCAGGAGTTTATTTCCTCTCCAATTTTTGACCTCCCCCTTTCATTTTGGGAGGTCTTTTTCTCCATTTTTTTTTACCTCCCCCTTCCACTCCAGGAGGTTGTGTTAGAGCTAGCCTTAGGAAATTTACCACAAGGTAATTTTGGCAACACAACAAAGATAATAAAGCTAAAAGATAAAAGCGATAAGAACACCAGATTTACGTGGTTCGATCAATTGACTTTGACCTACATCCACGGACGAAAGAGGAGTAAATCACTACTATAAAAGAGACTATTACAAATGCCTTAGGAAGATGTTCCTAGGCCATAAAACACCCAAAAATACTAAACAAAAAAAACCCAAAGTATAAGCCCAAACTATTTAACTGAGTGTGAACTTAAACCCAAAGCAAACACTTAGGTTTTTCTTGTGGTGCCTCTTGTGGTACATCTGACTTCAAAGCTCAAACCCTTATTTATAGTTCCAATACGAGACAACAAGTCTGATTTTCCCGATATGGGACTATGGGACTTGCCAAACTAACAAATCTCCACCTTGGCATGTCCCAACAAAACTTGCTCCACCTTCTTCATAAAAGCCCCAATGGGCAATCACCAACAATAAATACCAACCAAGTCGAAGCACTGCTTGAACTTGTAAACCGGAAGAGGCTTCGTAAGCATATCAGCTGAATCGTCCTTCGTATGAATTTTCTGAACAAGGACCTTTCTCTCATCAATGATATCCCATTTGCATCCAACAATTTTCTTATCCAAAGGCGGCTTTACAAGATCCCAAGTTCTATTCTGATGGAGAGATTCAATTTCTTCATTCATCGCAATCAACCACTTAGCGGAATTATCACAAGAAACTACATCTGAGTAGGAAGTAAGCTCACCAACTTCACTTGTTTCTTCTGCAATAGACAAAGCATATGCAACCAAATTTGCATATCTTTGTGGTGGTCGAATATTTCTCCGTGGTCTATCCTTGGCTATGGAATATTGCTCTTCCTCTAAATCATCTTCATTAGTAGACTCGAGACTATCTACTGACATTCTTTGAGAAGAAGAGTTAGACCGAAATGAATCAGACCTACCAATCTCAAGCTCCACCTGCTTCTGTGCACTATCATTTGTACAACTAGTAGATTCCTCTTTAGAAGATAACATAGATAATTTATCAAAAGTAATATCTCTACTGATTACAAATTTTGGGGATTTAGGATCAGGACACCATAATCTGTATCCTTTCACCCCAGAAGCATACCCAAGGAAAATATATTTTTTAGCTCGAGGCTCTAATTTTCCTTCATTTATATGCATGTATGTTGGACACCCAAAAATCTTTAAATCAGAGTAATCAGCAGGAGTACCTGACTAAACGTCCTTCGAAGTTTTAAAGTTAAGTACTACAGAAGGAACGCGATTGACAACGTAACAGGCCATATTAATCGCCTCTGCTCAAAAGTCCTTTGTCAACCCTGCATTTGAGATCATATACCTTGCTCTCTCCAAGAGTGTTTTGTTCATACGTTCGGCCACACCATTTTGTTGAGGCGTCATCCTAACAGTGCGATGCCGAACGATTCCTTCTTTTTTGCAAAATTCATTAAAGTCACCTTCATAAAATTCCATGTCATTATCTGTTTAAAGCCGCTTAATCTGTTTACATGTTTGTTTTTTAATCAAAGCCTTCCATTGTTTAAAGGTTAGAAAAACATCATTTTTATGCTTCAGAAAATAAACCCAAACTTTTCTAGAATAATCGTCAATGAAAGTCAACATATACTTGGCACCACCCTTAGACTGAACATGAGCTGAACCCCAAAGGTCTGAATGAATATAGTTAAGAGTACCTTTTGTTTTGTGAACTGCCGGAGAATTGAAGCAGACTCTTTTCTGCTTTCCAAAACTACAATGTTCACAAAAAACTAGTGGCCCAGTACTTTGTCCATAAAGTAGACCCTTTTTGCTCAATATGCTCAAACCTTTTTCGCTCATATGACCCAAACGCATATGCCATAATTTGGTGATGTCAGAATCAGACAATGATGATGACGAGACTGTAACCGAGCCTATGACAGTAGTTCCCTACAGAATATATAAGCTACCAGACCTACAAGCTTTCATAACAACAAGAGCACTTCTAAAAACTTTCATAACTCCACCTTTAACTGTGTATTTATACCCAAGGGCCTCTAAGGTGCCTAAAGATATGAGATTCTTTTTTAAATCAGGAACATGTCTAACATTAGTGAGCCTCCTCACAATACCATCATGTATTTTAATTTGGATTATGCCTCTACCAACAACATCACATGCAGCATTATTGTCCATCAAAATAATTCCACCATTACAATATTCATATGTGAAAAACAAATCCCTATTGAGGATATAATATAAAAGGAAGAAAAAGAATTTTATGCTTATATTGAGGATATAATATAAGTATCTAATGACTAAGACTAATTTGTTTATAAAAGAACTAATGCATATAATTTACATGATTTAAAAGTCATTTTATTATCCACAAATTATAAAAAAAATATA